TATGACTTACCTCTGAGTAGATGGGAACATGCATACACTGTGAGCCTCACCCTCATCCCCCCCCATTGCTACTGTTGGGGCAGAAAACCAGCAATATTATGAAAAATAACTGATAAGATGATTTTATTAGATTTAAAAGGGAAGTTCTATGAGATTTTAAAAATGCATTATGTGAAAGATGGTTGTTTCCATTGTTGAAGGAACCTTACTGTTAAAATAACAATGTGTCTGTCCTTAATTTCCTCCATTTTTATTAAAAATAAAATGTATGGTGGGAGGTTATTAAAAGTATATTTGTGGAGCAAAAGGCCACCCAGGTTCCCAACAAATATGCATGCAAGCCAGCCAGACTTGTTTTAAACACTGCTAGACATGTAAGTAATTGGATGATCTCTTCGGAATATTTGTTTTTTTCATAGACCCTGGATATAACATGTGTGAGCTGCCTGGTAGAAATTCAATCATTTACATAGCAGGTCTGTGAACCCCATTCTTACCGATGCAAAAGTAATCCTGCAAACTTAATTTGTTGGCTAGATTTCCATTTTTCCAACTTGAGACCAGTTGCAGTTGTGGGAAACCAGAAACAACTTTTTCGTATTGTATTCTTTGCCATCGCTTTCCTTCAGCTTATGCTTGAGGAGAGATTCTCTGCGTGTTTTATAGAGGCGATATACAGCTGTGTCTTAATTGTATGGCAGGTATGCAAAAAGGATTGTGACCAGGGAGATTTCTGTCATAAACAGGAGCACAATGTTTGTCAGAGGTCAGGAATGGAAACCGCTCGATTGTTTTAGTTTACAAAAATCCCAGGGATAAGATAGCTTGGTCCCAAGATGTATAGGATTTGTACACCAGCACCAGCATCTTGAACTTCTCCCAGTAGCTAATTGGCAGCCGCAGTGTAGCATGACAGTGATGTTCTGACAGTGAGCAACCGAGTCTTATGCGCTAGCTACAGTTTATGGACAAAGCTCAGCAGCAGCAGCCCATCAAACACGTTGCAGTGATCCAGTCTGTGGGTTACCGGCACATGGACTACAAGGTAAGACTAGCTCCATAAATGTAGTTTTGACAGCCCAAGCTGGTTAAGCACACTCCAAGCTACTGAGGTGACCTAGGACTCTGGTGCCAGAGCTGGATCCAGCAGCACCAAATTGTGGTCTGAGATGGTTCTCGGTTGGATCTCCACCTTTTTCACCCCCAAATCTCTGGATGCCCACACCATATCTGGTCTACTGGAATTATTTTGTTAAACTTGAATGGAAAGTATAGTTGTGTTCTGTTAGATGTTTTAATCTACACAGCTATATTAACTCCATATGCCTTACTATATCAAAAAAGTAGTTTGGTAATTTCCCTTCATTGGACCTTATTGTTTGATTTGACCTCTCATATTCTGGGGCTACTATCTCATTCAAGTCTCCCTGATGGGTCTGCTGTGTTTCCATGGTTGGAGGCAACCATGCTTCAGAAATGCAGTTGCAGGAAGTCTGATGCGGGCAGAGGGCTCTTGTGCTCGAATCCTGCTTGTGGCATTCCCACAGGCAAATGGGTGGCCCCTGGGAGAAGAGGAGGCTGGAGCAGGTGGGCCTCTGACTGTGGTGGCAGAGCAGATCTATCAGGGCTAGTAGCCTTTGACTGCCCTCTCCTCCATTAAGTTGCCTAACCTTCATTTCAAGCCATGCAGTCAGAGATGCTCATCTGCTGCATCTCCTGGTCATCCGATTGTTTCTGCAAAAAGGTGGCTCTTGTGAGCTCAGCAGTGGGATCTCCTTTAAGTCCCTGGGGTGGGTGTGACAGATGGATGGGCAGCTGAGGGGACGTTTTGTCCCTGGCATTCAGTCTGTGACAGACCTTTCACATGTCCAGCGATTCTTCCCTCGAAGCAGCCCTTAGTGAAGAGTTCTCCCCTGCTTCAAAGATCCCTTCTTTCTTCCAGGATCTCCTGTCTTCACCACCTTTGGTGCTGCCAAAGCCTCCCTTTTGAAAAGAGCAGGTAAGAGGAAGGGAAAATTTGCATGGGGCGGGGAGAACATCCTACAAGATGAGTGTATGTGTTCAAGCTGTGGATGCATTTCTGAAAAAAAGGCTTACACTAATAAGATGAGTTTGGGAACTGGGGGCCTTCCTACAGGGGTTGCTTGACTACAACTCCCATTGTCCTGTTTCTTTTGTTTCTTTTTAGTGGGCCCTGCTTCAGCTGCGCCAGGAAGCCAAGTGGCTGAGGCTCTGGCCCTGGTTAAGTCTCATCTTAAGTCTGCATTATACCTCCTGCAGTCCTGCCTCAATTTTGAGCTTTGCCATCATGCCCGCTTTCCCTCCCCACTGCACCCCACCCTGTTACTCTGCTTCCCCTCCAGTTCACTCAGAGAAACATTCCTGGGTATTCCCAAGTCTTATTCACCACGCTGTGACTTTGCAGGTGGCGCTGATAAAGATATCCCCGAATGGCAGTTTTATTTCTTTCCCACAAATGGACCAGCGCTCCTGCCCACCCATTCCTGCATCCACACAGCTGCAAGACGTCCAGGAATCAGCATCCCAGAAGCTGACCGCTTCTTCTTGCACTGCTTCCCAATCAGCACCCCTCTCTTTACACACGAGGTGTCCGCTGCAGCCCTTCCCTGGGCACGTAGCAGCAAGCCATCTTAGCTGTGTTGCCAGGGGGTGAGATTCCTTTCCCGGCCAGAAGGGTAAAAGCAGGCAGAAGTTGGGCAAAAAAATAAATAAATATTAATCTTTTTAAGATGCTTGAATGGAGTTGAGAAGAATTCTGGCTGAAGAAAAGCACTGCTTCTCCCTGCAATCATCCTGATAGAACAAGCACTTCAACTTCCTGTACCCGGTTCCTAGGAAATGGTAGTGAGGAAGCTGCAGGTTCCTCATCCCTGTTCTACAAAGCAGATGTCTTCCCCCCAAAGATCCTGGGAACTGTAGTTTGTTAGGGGCTCTGGGAACAGCTCCCATTAGCAGAGATCCGTGGAGTCCTAGGAACTCAGTCATGAGGAGGAACCAGGAAGGAAGGAGGAGCTCAGATGCCCCGTTCTTGAGTTGGGGAGGGACCCCGTGCCTTGGGAATGGAGAACCGTTGGGTGTTGAGTGTCCCAGGATTGTGCCTTGCCTTCAAGGGGGATGCCTGGGAGATGGGGTTTGGTCCTGCTCAAGCTCAGGAAGGGATTCCCCTCAGATCAGATTGGCTCAGGCATATCTGAGAGGAGCCAGCAGATGTAGCAACAGCTAGACTGGGAGCAGCCGGCAGGACCACAGAACACTGGTCCTAAAGGATCTACGGTGGCTCCCAGTACGTTTGCGAGCACCATTCACAGTGTGGGTCCTGTATACCTGAAGAAGGCTTGCCACCTGGTTCTTTAAAAACAGAGTTTTAAAGTTCCATCCTTGACAGCAAACATAGAAGGATAGGAATCAGGCTGCAAAACCTTGTTCTGAGTAAGTCCAGCCATGAAGCTAGCTGCCTTCCCCCCTTTGCCCCACTTAAGAAAGAATCCGGCATCAACCTGGGAACTTTAAAAATAAGCTTTACTTACTTTATAATCATGCATCGGTTCAGAACAATACAGGGATTAAAAACTGTGCAGGCAAAATACTGTTAAAGATTTGCAGGAGACCCCCCCCCCCAACTAAACACTAGAAATTGATCAATTGAAGAATTTTGATTAATTGGGATATCAGTGAAAGTACAGGCTGCACAACTGTGCCAGACAAGGAGTCCCTGGGCTGTGATCCTGTTCACACAGCTTAAAAAAGTTCCCCCTGGTTCGCAATGGCATGTGTCCATCATTCCTTGACGATTCTATAAAGCCAGCAACTTTGGCGCATCTAACTTGCGTGCATTTAGCTTTCTGTTCTTGGCCCAAAAATCTATCAAAAAGGGGGCAGAAAGCAGGCGGGTGTCTGGGAAAAGGGACTTTGGCATTGCCACCCAGCCCTGAACCCCATGTGTTTTGACCCTGTGAGATTCTGGTTTGAGGTGTGATCCCCAGAACATAACCCCCATGTCAGTGGCAGGCTTCCTCTTGAGAGCATCCACCACACCAGACATCCAAAGGCCTCTTCTACCACGTTCACGGTCTTGGCTTCCACCAAGGAATCCTGGGACCTGTCCTTTGTCAAGGACCTACCATTCCTGGCAGCTCCCATTCCTAGCACCCTGAACACACTACAGGATTTCCAGGATTCTCCATGATAGTGAAAGTGGAGAGAGAAGCCTTTGAATATTTGGTGTGGCTAAGGCAGCTGAAAGAGCGTCTGAGTTGAAGTTCTGCCAGTAGTTTTTGGCCATTCACAGCCCATTCTCATATGATGTCCCTCTTCCTCCACAGGGCCAGGCCTCAAGGGATGAGGCTCCAGCGCCAGCTCCTGGGATGAAGAACCAGACAACATCCCAGCGGTTCCCGGCTGACGTCCCTTGCGGCGCGTCCCCACTGCCCCTTCTCTGTACTGGCATGGCTCCTTCCCAGCCCGATTTGGCGCAGAAGCAGCAGCCAAAGTTTCCTCCCATTAAAACAGCTTCTCAGGAGGAAACTTTGGCTGCTGCTTCTGTGCTAGGCCGGTCGGATGGAGGAGAAGTGGGGAGCCCTGATAAGATAAGGTAAGTGGAAATGCCCCTTCCCAGGTTCCCCCCCCCCCGCCCCAGACTGGGGCTAGCGTGGCTGGGAGCCAGGTGCCTGCTGATGTCTCCGTTTGCTTTGCAGCGAGGGAAAGGTTCAGCCTGGAGCTGCCACATTCCAGGAGGGACTGGAGCCCAGACGATGGCCTCTTGCCCCTGAGGTAATGGGACAGAGGGGAGGAGGGGGGGGCCTTAGGAAACCCACCAGAAGGGCCTGCAGGATCAGGCCAAGGGCCTGTCTGGTCCAGTCTCCTTTTCTCCCAGGGGCCACCCAGATGCCACTGCAAAAGCAGCAACAGGATTCGAGCCCAAGAAGCAGTGCGTAGCGTTGAGTTCTCCCCTGCTTCAAATATCCCCTCTTTCTTGCAGGATCTCGATCGTGCACTGCTGTGGCTGCTGCCCAAGCCTCCTCCAAAAAGACCAGGTAAGAGGAAGGGAGCCTTTGCATGGGGCGGGGAGAACACCCTACAAGTTGTTAATGCTCTGGGTGCATTTCTGAAAAAAGGCATATACTGATAAGGCGGGTTTGGGGACTGGGGACCTTCCTATAGGGGTTGGCTGATTACAGCTCCAATTGTCCTCGACCACTGTCCTTTCCCCCTTCTTTTTTAATTAAAAAAACAGCTTGAGGATTCCCCAAAGACAAATTCCAGAGCGTGGAAGGAAGAGGCATTGGGTGACAGTGCAAAGATGTAGTTTTTGGCCCATCACAGCCCATTCTCATATGATGTCCTGCTTACTCCAAAGGGCCACGCTTCCAGGGATGAGGCTCCAGCTCATGATGGGAGAGAGAACATCCCGGCGGTTCCCGGCTGACAACCTTCGCACCTCTTCCCCACTGCCCCTTCTCCGTACGGGCATGGCTCCTTCCCGGCCCTGTTTGAAGCAGAAGCAGCAGCCAAAGTTTACTCCGATTAAAGCAGCATCTCAATTTATTTCAGAGAGGGAGGAGACTTTCGCTGCTGCCTCTGTGCAGGCCGGCCAGGCTGAAGCCCAGACGCCCGTAAGGAGGAGGACAGGTTGGGGCAGCTAATAAGATCAGGTAGGAGGAAATGCCCCCTTCCCAGGTTCCTCCCCCTCCTGCCCCATGCTGGGGCTAATGTGGCTGGGAGCCAGGCGCTTGCTGATGTCTCCGTTTTCTTTGCAGGGAGGGAGCCTTTCCCCAACATATACTTTGTTCTGGTCAAATCCCTGGAGAGATGTGACGACCCTCAGGTTCTGGGGCAGAGGGAACAAAGGGGTCCTTCCATAGTTTTTGGCCCATCAGAGGCCCATTCTCATATGATGTCCTGCTTACTCCAAAGGGCCACGCTTCCAGGGATGAGGCTCCAGCTCATGATGGGAGAGAGAACATCCCGGCGGTTCCTGGCTGGCAACCCTCACATCTCTTCCCCACTGCCCCTCCTCCGTACGGGCATGGCTCCTTCCCGGCCCTGTTTGAAGCAGAAGCAGCAGCCAAAGTTTCCTCCCATTAAAACAGCATCTCAATTTATTTCAGAGAGGGAGAAGACTTTGGCTGCTGCTTCTGTGCCAGGCCGGCCAGGCTGGAGCCCAGACGCCCATAGGGAGGAGGACAGGTTGGGGCAGCTAATAAGATCAGGTAAGTGGAAATGCCCCTTCCCAGGTCCCCCCCCCTTCTGCCCCAGACTGGGCTAGCGTGGCTGGGAGCCAGGAGCCTGCTGATGTCTCCATTTTCTTTGCAGGGAGGGAGCCTTTCCCCAACATATACTTTGTTCTGGTCAAATCCCTGGAGAGATGTGACGACCCTCAGGTTCTGGGGCAGAGGGAACAAAGGGGTCCTTCCATAGTTTTTGGCCCATCAGAGGCCCATTCTCATATGATGTCCTGCTTCCTCCACAGGGCCACACCTCCAGGGATGAGGCTCCAGCGCCTGCTCCCAGGATGAAGAACGACAGACCATCATGGTGGTTCCTGGCCCCTGACCCTCGCCTGCCTCCCCCTCCGTCCGTTCTCCATGTGGGCATGGCTCCTTCCCAGCACTACTTGGCGCAGAAGCAGCAGCCAAGGTTTCCTCCCATCAAAAGCACCTCCCGAGTTATTCCAGAGCCGGGTGAGACTTGGGTTGCTGCCTCTGTGCCAAGCCGGCCGGGACAGAGCCCAGACCCCGTACGGAGGAGTTCAGGGTGGGGCAGCTAATAAGATCAGGTAGGAGGAAATGCCCCCTTCCCAGGTCCCCCCCCTCCTGCCCCAGACTGGGGCTAGCGTGGCTGGGAGCCAGGCGCCTGCTGATGTCTCCGTTTGTTTTGCAGCGAGGAGAAGGTTCAGCCTGGGAGCCACTGCATCACGGGAGGGACTGGAGCCCAGACAAAGGCCTCTCACCCCAGAGGTACTGGGACAGGGGGAAGGACAAAGACCCCCGCAGGGAGGCCAAGTGGGGAGAGCTGCAAAGATCAGGTAAGTGGAAATGCCCCTTTCCCATGTCTCCCACCCTCCTGCCCCAGGCTGGGGCTAATGTGGCTGGGAGCCAGGCACTTGCTGATTGCTCCATTTTCTTTGCAGGAAGGGAACCTTTCCCCAATGTGTACTTTGTTCTGGCCAAATCCCTGGAGAGACGTGACGACCCTCAGGTACTAGGGCAGAAGGAAGGAAGGGGTCCTTCTGAAATATGTTTGGGGAATTGTAGGAACATTGTCCCCTGTGGCTGTTGCCAAAGCCACCCTTATAAAAAGAACAGGTAAGAGGAAGGAAAGATTTCCATGGGGCTGGGAGAACACCCTACAAGTTGAGTGTCAACAGAGAATAGGAGAAGAACCTTTCTGCTCTCATGCTCTCGTCCAGAAGTGGGTTGGCCAAGCTTTCTTTGGGAATAATGTCAGGGCAGGGGCATTGGGCATTCCCCGCATCTGCCAGGTGGATACCAAGTCCTTCTTCCTCCACAGGGCCACACTTCCAGAGAATGGTCTCCGTCGCCAGCACACAAGGTGATGGACACAGAGCGAGACTCCGTCTTCCGTGGCGTTCCAGTCTTGTTTTTCTGGATTGCAAAGTCCTTCCAATTGCTTGAGGAATCCTGCTGAAGCACTTCTCTGAACATTTGAACTTTGATATGAGTAAGCAGGTCTCAAGGTGACTTCTGGATCAAGGCTTAACGCTGAAAATTCAGGATTTTCCCCCCACAGGGCCACACTTCCCGAGAATGGTCTCAGTTGCCAGCACAAGGTGATGGACAGAGTGTAACTCTGTCTTCTGTGGCGTTCCAGTCTTGCTTTTCTGGATTGCAAAGTCCTTCCAAATCGCTGGAGGAATCCATGCTGCTTGGTGCCTTGCAAGTTTTCTGGGATGTTCCGGTTGCTGTCTGAATGTGCCCTTCACTGAAAGAGAACGGCATGACTGGCACATGTTAAAATTAAATAAAGAAGTCAGAGCAACTGGTTGCTTTCAATATGCCAATGATCAAATAATATTCCGTAACAAACAGTATCAAAAAAGGGGGGGGAGGAGCTGTTTTCTTTCCTTCTCTGCCTTCTCTGGCTACTACTGGGATGTTGTTCTGTTTAGAGTGTTTAATCTACACAGCTATATTAATCCATATCCTTACTATATCAAAAAAGTAGTTTGGTAATTTCCCTTCATTGACCTTATGTTTGATTTGACCTCTCATATTCTGGGGCTACATCTCATTCAAGTCTCCCTGATGGGCTCTGCTGTTTTCCATGGTTGGAGGCAACCATGCTTCAGAAAATGCAGTTCTGACAGGAAAGTCTTGATGCGAGCAGAGGGCTCTTGTGCGCGAAATCCTGCTTGTGGCATTCCCACAGGCAAATGGGTGGCCCCTGGGAGAAGAGGAGGGCTGGAGCAGGTGGCCTCTGACTGTGGTGGCAGAGCAGATCTATACAGGGCTAGAGCCTTGACTTGCCCTCTTCCTCCATTAAGTTGCCTAACCTTCATTTCAAGCCATGCAGTCAGAGATGCTCATCTGCTGCATCTCCTGGTCATCCGATTGTTTCTGCAAAAAGGTGGCTCTTGTGAGCTCAGCAGTGGATCTCCTTAAGTCCCTGGGGTGGGTGTACACAATGGATAGGGCAGCTGAGGGGACGTTTTGTCCCTGGCATTCAGTCTGTGACAGACCTTTCACATGTCAGCGATTCTTCCCTCGAAGCAGCCCTTAGTGAAGAGTTCCCCTGCTTCAAAGATCCCTTCTTTCTTCCAGGATCTCCCTGTCTTCACCACCTTGGTGCTGCCAAAGCCTCCCTTTTGAAAAGAGCAGTAAGAGGAAGGGAAAATTTGCATGGGCGGGGAAACATCCTACAAGAAATGAGTGTATGTGTTCAAGCTTGGATGGCATCATTCTGAAAAAAAGGCATACCTAATAAGATGAGTTTGGAAACTGGGGGCCTTCCTACAGGGGTTGCTTGACTACAACTCCCATTGTCCTCGTTTCTTTTGTTTCTTTTTAGTGGGCCCTGCTTCAGCTGCGCCAGAAGCCAAGTGGTGCCAGGCTCTGCCCTGTTAAGTCTCATCTTAAGTCTGCATTATACCTCCTGCAGTCCTGCCTCAATTTTGAGCTTTGCCATCATGCCCGCTTTCCCTCCCCACTGAACCCCACCCTGTTACTTGCTTCCCTCCAGTTCACTCAGAGAAGACATTCCTGAGGTATTCCCAAGTCTTATTCACCACGCTGTGACTTTGCGAGGTGCGCGTGATAAAGATATCCCGAATGGCAGTTTTATTTCTTTCCCACAAATGGACCAGCGCTCCTGCCACCCCATTCCTGCATCCACACCAGCATGACGCAAGACCGAATCCAGCGAATCAGCATCCCAGAAGCTGACGCTTCTTCTTGCACTGCTTCCAAATCAGCACCCTCTCTTTAACACACGGTGTCCGCTGCAGCCCTTCCCACTGGCACGTAGCAGCAAGCCATCTTAGCTGTGTTTGCAGGGGGTGAGATTCCTTTCCCGGCCAGAAGGGTAAAAGCAGGCAGGAAGTTGGGCAAAAAAATAAATAAATATTAATCTTTTTAAGATGCTTGAATGGAGTTGAGAAGAATTCTGGCTGAAGAAAAGCACTGCTTCTCTCTGCAATCATCCTGATAGAACAAGCACTTCAACTTCCTGTACCCCGGTTCTCATAGGAAATGGTAGTGAGGAAGCTGCAGGTTCCTCATCCACCTGTTCTACAAAGACGAGATTCTTCCCCCAAAAGATCCTGGGAACTGTAGTTTTGTTAGGGGCTCTGGAACAGCTCCCATTAGCAGAGATCCGTGGAGTCCTAGAACTCAGTCATGAGGAGGAACCAGGAAGGAAGGAGGAGCTCAGATGCCCCGTTCTTGAGTTGGGGAGGGACCCCGTGCCTTGGGAATGGAGAACCGTTGGGTGTTGAGTCCCAGGATTGTGCCTTGCCTTCAAGGGGATGCCTGGGAGATGCGGGTTTGGTCCTGCTCAGCTCAGGAAGTGATATCCCTACAGATCAGATTGGCTCAGCATATCTGAGAGGAGCCAGCAGATGTAGCAACAGCTAGAACTGGGAGCAGCCGCAGGACCACAGAACACTGGTCCATAAAGAATCTACGGTGGCTCCCAGTACGTTTGCGAGCACCATTCACAGTGTGGGTCCTGTATACACTGAAGAAGGCTTGCCACCTGGTTCTTTAAAAACAGAGTTTTAAAGTTCCATCCTTGACACGCAAACAGAGAAGGATAGGAATCAGGCTGCAAAACCTTGTTCTGAGTAAGTCTCAGCCATGAAGCTAGCTGCCTTCCCCCTTTGCCCCACTTAAGAAAGAATCCGGCATCAACCTGGGAACTTTAAAAATAAGCTTTACTTACTTTATAATCGCATCGGTTCAGAACAATACAGGGATTAAAAAACTGTGCAGGCAAAATACTGTTAAGATTTGCAGGAGACCCCCCCCCCAAAACTAAACACTAGAAAATTGATCAATTGAAGAATTTTGATTAATTGGGATATCACGTGAAAAGTACAGGCTGCACAACTGTGCCAGACAAGGAGTCCCTGGGCTTGATCCTGTTCACACCAGCTTAAAAAAGTTCCCCTGGTTCGCAATGCAGGTGTCCATCATCTCCTTGACGATTCTATAAAGCCAGCAACTTTGGCGCATCTAACTTGCGTGCATTTAGCTTTCTGTTCTTGGCCCAAAATCTATCAAAAAGGGGCAGAAAGCAGCGGGGTGTCTGGGAAAAGGACTTTGGCATTGCCACCCAGCCCGGAAACCCATGTGTTTTGACCCTGTGAGATTCTGGTTTGAGGTGTGATCCCCAGAACATAACCCCATGTCGTGCAGGCCTTCCTCTTGAGAGCATCCACCACACCAGACATCCAAATGGCCTCTTCTACCACGTTCACGGTCTTGGCTTCCACCAAGGAATCCTGGACCTGTCCTTTGTCAAGGACCTACCATTCTGGCAGCTCCATTCCTAGCACCCTGAACACCACTACAGGATTTCCGGATTCTCCATGATAGTGAAAGTGGAGAGAGAAGCCTTTGAATATTTGGTGTGGCTAAGGCAGCTGAAAGAGCGTCTGATTGAAGTTCTGCCAGTAGTTTTTGGCCATTCACAGCCCTTCTCATATGATGTCCTCTTCCTCCACAGGGCCAGGCCTAAGGGATGAGGTCCCAGCGCCAGCTCCTGGGATGAAGAACCAGACAACATCCCACGGTTTCCCGGCTGACGTCCCTTGCGGCGCGTCCCCACTCCCTTCTCTGTACTGGCATGGCTCCTTCCCAGCCCCGATTTGGCGCAAAAGCAGCAGCCAAAGAATTTCCTCCATTAAAACAGCTTCTCAGGAGGAAACTTTGGCTGCTGCTTCTGTGCTAGGCCGGTCGGATGAGGAGAAGTGGGGAGCCCTGATAAGAAAGGTAAGTGGAAATGCCCCTTCCCAGGTTCCCCCCCCCGCCCAGACTGGGGCTAGCGTGGCTGGGAGCCAGGTGCCCTGCTGATGTCTCCGTTTGCTTTGCAGCGAGGGAAAGGTTCAGCCTGGAGCTGCCACATTCCAGGAGGGACTGGAGCCCAGACGATGGCCTCTTGCCCCTGAGGTAATGGACAGAGGGAGGAGGGGGGGGCCTTAGGAAACCCACCAGAAGGGCCTGCAGGATCAGGCCAAGGGCCTGTCTGTCCAGTCTCCTTTTCTCCCAGGGGCCACCCAGATGCCACTGCAAAAGCAGCAACAGGATTCGAGCCAAGAAAGCAGTGCGTAGCGTTGAGTTTCCCTGCTTCAATATCCCTCTTTCTTGCAGGATCTCGATCGTGCAACTGCTGTGGCTGCTGCCCAAGCCTCCTCCAAAAAGACCAGGTAAGAGGAAGGGAGCCTTTGCATGGGCGGGAGAACACCCCTACAAGTTGTTTAATGCTCTGGTGCATTTATGAAAAAAGGCATATACTGATAAGGCGGGTTTGGGGACTGGGGACCTTCCTATAGGGTTGGCTGATTACAGCTCCAATTGTCCTCGAGCACTGTCCTTTCCCCCTTCTTTTTTAATAAAAAAAACAGCTTGAGGATTCCCCAAAGACAAATTCCAGAGCGTGGAAGGAAGAGGCATTGGGTGACAGTGCAAAGATGTAGTTTTTGGCCCATCACAGCCCATTCTCATATGAAGTCCTGCTTACTCCAAAGGGCCACGCTTCCAGGGATGAGGCTCAGCTCATGATGGAGAGAGAACATCCCGGCGGTTCCGGCTGACAACATTCGACCTCTTCCCACTGCCCCTTCTCCGTACGGGCATGGCTCCTTCCCGGCCCTGATTTGAAGCAGAAGCAGCAGCCAAAGTTTACTCCGATTAAAGCAGCATCTCAATTTATTTCAGAGAGGAGGAGACTTTCGCTGCTGCCTCTGTGCAGGCCGGCCAGGCTGAAGCCCAGACGCCCGTAAGTGAAATATAAACAACATAAGCGCACTCGTCCCCTTTGGCAAGGAACATCTCTGATTTGCTTTGGGGGGGGGGACATTACAATGGAGCACGTCATGGTCACGACATCAGCCTGGCCGTCAAGGAGGGGAGTCTTGAGGATTGGGAATTGGTTCACCACATAGGGCAGTAGGATCACTGCTCGCTGGAGATCCTCGTTTTACTGCATAGTTCTGCACTGATTCACCCAGAAACTCCTGCTGACTCATGGCAGGAGCTGAAGGACCTTAGCAGTGTATGTAACGGCAACATCTGCCTGCAGAGAAGAGTCAGCA